GGGCTGATGGGGTGTTGTTGGCTGACGGGGGCGTCGACAGAAAACTATAGTGGAGACGAAGGATGTACATGATGGCAGAGGCAGTAGCAATTTATGAAGTTTTAGGGTTTTGGTGAGGGTTGAGATATAAAGATAGAGTCGGGTAGGAAGAGGGAAAGTGAATGGTTGTTAAATTTATAGTGTGTGTTTGTGTTTTAGTTTGTGAGTAGCTGAAGCTTCAAAAGATAGGTAAACTTAAGCTATTAAATTTGATTGGCTGATTTTTGATCACTTGGATCACCACATTAATACATCGATACCGTCCAACATAAATTCAACGGATCACATTTGTTCTCCTTGTTTTTTAAGACAATAGTCTTAAAATTGTGAAGGCCCACACTTATGCATGCTTTATAAGGGTTTTATATATATATATATATATATATATTATATATATATATATATATATATATATATATTCATTTTATAAACATATGTGTGTATATGTATCATGTATATATCTGCATGACATTTTTGTAGTTTTGTACACAAGTGCATAAAGATATATGTATGTATGTGCATCATGTATATTATTTGTATATACATACATACATATATACAGACACACACACACACACACACACACACACACACATATATATATATAATATATATATATATATATATATATATATATATATATATATATATATATTATATATATATATATTATATATATATATATATATATACGCATTTTATGAATGTTCGTACATATTGTCTATTTGTTTATTTGTGTGTATGTATGTATATATGTATGTTTATATGTGCATAGACATATGTGTATATATGAATATATGTCCATATGCTTATGTATATATGTTTGTGCATACACATGCATATGTTCATATGTACATACACGTGCATATGTAGACATGCATATATGTGCATATACATATTATAAATATTAACATTTATCAAATGTTGATATACTGTTCTTAAGGTCAAATCCATGAAACATGCCTTGCACTGTGCTCACCGCTCAAACATGTTCTTGCGTGCTTAAGACAATATCACAACTCTACCCAAAGATTGTATATTAATTTTCACTCTTTCTCAAACCTCACCATTCTTGTCTCGGTCTAAAAACCCGAGCTCCTCAAGGTGTAGAACACCAGTTGCTCACCATCGTCCGCAACCACAAGTCTTCATTTTCTCCAACTGTTGTCTTCATCGCTATCACCACCATCGCCCCTGTTAGACAAACATGTCTTCTATTTAAATCCCTCGATTTTCACAGGTCTTCGCCTGCATCCATCTCTCCTTCTCTCAATCCAGAAACATAGATTGTCGTTGCTTATGTCTCTCTTTAAACCCTTTATGTAAAATAACCCTAATCATTGCTCTTCCTAGGAATCCAAAAACGGACCATAGGGCTTTAAGAGGTACATTATTTGTTTATTTACAATTTTACATGATTCTTGATTTTGTACATATTTCCTTTTGATTTTTCATTAGGATTATGATGTGGATATTGTTGGGGGATATCATGTCAGATACTTGAGTTTTTTTTCCTAAAGCAAGGACAACAATGGTTGTAATCAGATGGTTTAAACATGATTACTCTTGCAATTCTTGATGAAGAGGAAAATATGATGCCCTTTTAAGATGAAGTTTTATCTTTACAAGGTGTAGGTAATCAAATTTCACTTCATATATGTTACAAGAATGTCTTCAAATATAGATTTTATTTATCTTTATTTTGGTTGTTTCAGCTAACATAATCAAGAAAAAAATCCAACATGACCTACCCATATTAACGTTTTTGAGCTCATCTCAAATGGAAGTACTAACTGGTCAATGGAAGATCCAGGAGTCATGGTTCCATCCCCAAGTAAGAAAAACATACATATCTTTTTTCATGTTTGGCAAAAATATTAGTTTATTTTGATTTCTTTCTTAGTGAAATTGTGTTGCTAATGGAACCTTATGTTTATCATTTTTTATTAGGTAGACATCGTGACAACCTTCAATAAAGGTTTGAAGATCTGGATGTCTGAAAGAATCATTCCTTTTTAACACATATCTAACAAGCTTCATTTTCTTATCACCGACTAAACCTGCGTAGGTTCTAACTTTGCATGTTCTATCTCATCGATTTCAGGTATACAAGGTTTAGATTGTGTTTCGATATTTATAGTTTTAATTATGATTTTTAGGTATCAGTTCATCATCGTCTTTCATCATCAAAATGGATCAAATTTTCTCTCAAGGATCCTTTTGATTAGGGTCTTTATCCAAGACGAGTCATATTGTTGGTTAAAATTTTAGATATGATGATATCTTTTAATTGATTACTGGTTTTTGTTGACGTTTAAGATTTTAATCCACTTTTGAATGATAACTTTTGAGTGGTTATAGATTCGATAATAACTTTTTAGATTTTAATCCACTTAGCGTTCTACTGATATCTTACACGAGTTATCTTTCGGTCTTTTTTGTTACTAAAAAATTCATCAATATTTTTGGTAGGTTAAGAATCTCAGGAAAGATGTTAATATTGTTGGTGTAGTATGTTGATATCTGCCTTAAAGGTATATTGTTTCTCCCTTTAACATTATCTCTGAAATTGGAAAATTGAGTCTGTTTGACCTTAAATTTTGTTGAAAGATGTGTGAAACTAGGGTTCATGGTTGGTTTAACCGATACAAACATGCAACTACATTTATATATAGTGGTGGGGTGTAGATACCCCAATTATAACATTGTATTTTCTTTCTTTTTGAAAAAAACCCCAATTATAGTAATAATCTTTAAGTTCTTTTGAAAACTACCCAATTTCACTTTTTGTTGCACTTTCTATTGGACCTAGAATCATTTAATGTACACCCTTTTGTTTACAAGAACATTGAAGAATAAAGTTTTACTAAAACAAGTACCCAATATTGTACTAAATTTAAGCTTTGTATTTTCATTCTTTTGCTTATTAAAGCATTTCATATAAATAGATATTGAACTAGTATTTTACCATCAATTTTTTCCTTATTAGATTATTATACTTTTAAAGTTCATCCATTTATATAAGTTGTATTCATTTACTTATTTGTTAAAAGTGATCGGAAGAAAAGGGTATAAAGAAGTATATTATCTATTTCAGTAAAGAGAGTAAAGTTTAAAATAAATTTTCAAAAAATATAGTAGTTTAAATAATATCGTTTTGCAAAGTTTAATTTTTTTTAAAATGTTTAAAAACATTTTATTTTATTTTATTTTTCTTACTAAAGCATTGTAGTTAAAAGTAGAATGTTATAATCGAGCATAATTTGAAAACAACCATCCAATTATAGCATTGTACTTTCAAAGTACAATGGTTTAATAAGAAAAAAAACTCAATTATAGCATTGTCTAATGATTTAGAAAACCAACTTATAGTTGATGGTTTTTTTTGGTAGCCTACTTATGTAGCACACGTTGAGAAAAAAAAATACTTATAGCATTTCTTGATGGTGTGTTGTATCTAGATGTATTTGTATGAATATGTAATCTATAATTATCATTTCTTTGCCATTAGTAGCAATGTACTTCTATTATATTTGAAAATATTCATTTAAATGACATTTTTTTTCTTTTATAGCAATGTACTTTTAACGAAAAAATTAATGCTCAGACTCCCGCCGCAACGCGCGAGCTTAAAACCTTGTATACAGACATGAATAAACATAGGTGTACATATGTATTATTACGAATGTCATGATTGATTTTTATGCATTTTTTGTATGTTTGAGTAGATTCAGAAGAATTAAAGAATTGGAAGATACGAAAAGAAATTAAGTAAATAAAATATGATAGTTATGAAATGAACAAATGAGCATATCGTGTTGTATTTTTTTTTTTATATATTTATGATTGTATCGGCCAAAATGGTTGTATAGTTTTGTTTTTAATAAAATGATTTCTTACAAAATTTTTGCTTTTGATATATAAAATATTAATATGCATATATGCATCTAGTATGAAATGAACAAATGAGCATATCATATTGTATTTTATTGTTTTTTATATTTATGATTGTATCCGCCAAAATGGTTGTATAGTTTTGTTTTTAATAAAATGATTTCTTACAAAATTTATGCTTTTGATATATAAAATAATAATATGCATATATGCATCTAGTAAATATGCATATATGCAACTCAAAAAACATAAATTTTTAAGATCACATTAAAAATGTTAAATGAATTAGATTTTATAGCGTATTTTACAAAGAATTTGAAATGTTATGTATTATGTTATTTTTTCAAAAGTTTGATTATTTTCTATAAAATGTTTTGATTTTTATTTGATTATAGAATTTTTTTGAAAAAGCGAAAATCATTTTTTAGGCTTATTTTAGGATTTGGCAAAAAATAGTTAGAGAACCATAATTATTGGTTCTAACCAATTCTTTTTTTAAATTTGTAGAGCATATTCTTTATCCAAAAAAAAATCTAAAAATATTTAAATTCATATATTAACATTGTGAATGTGAAAAATATTTTTCAGATTCACCGTGTGAATCCGGATTCACATTGTGAATTTTCAAAGATTTACATTGTGAATTTGACGTAAAAAAAATCGAATTTGATATCATTGGAAAAAGGATAAAAAATAATGAATTTCTGTATTTTTAGTTTTTTCTTTTATAAAAAATAAGTTCTAAAAGTTGAAAAAAATATTAGTTCCTTGGTTAATTATGGTTCTCTATTGAACCTCACCCTATATATATATATATATATATATATATATATATATATATATATATATATATATATACACACCCTAGAAAAGTGCAAGGGTCGTGCCAACATGTGTTTCTTTGGAAAAGTTCAAAAAACCTAGTAATATTGTTATTGACGCTAGATATAATTAGAGGCTGAAAAGCACCACACTTTGCTATTCAGCTAATATAGGCAAGAGTTTCTTTTTATTATGTAATAGATGTGTATTTTTTTCTTTCTTTGTCATAGATAGATTTGTTCATTTGATGTATTAGTTGCTCATATATGATTTTATTCATGTATGTTTGCCAGAAAAAATAAGATAAAGTTCTCACTAAAAATTAGTTGCCACTAAATATTAACAAAAACTCCCATAGATGCAACAGAACATTAAAATGTCTCCTTGAGGATGTTTGGTGAATTTTCCTGCAAAATGTAGAAAGGAAGGATAATCGACATTGAGGCAAGTTGGATCGTAGGAATTGATCATGCAGGGAAGCCAAGTTCTCTTAGTTTGTGGTTCATGAAGTTCACTTTGTGATAATTTTTGTAGCTGGATCTTAACTTCTTCGATTTTTATCACAGTGCACATCTCCCATGGTGTGTGTCGTGTTCAACCAACTGTACAATATAAAATTTGGAAAAAAAAACTATTTTTTTAATTCTCTTTAAAGATATGACATCAAATTAAAGTAAAAATTTTATCTTGAAAAAAGAAAATTGGATGGTCTTTGACAAAAGTGAGATGAACTTAACCCAACGAACATTTAAAAAGCATCATAATCCCCACCACCAGCCATTTGTACAAAGATTAAGTTGTTATTATCCGTTAAACATAAGGCCTTATTTGTCAAATTTATAAATTTAGTCAAGCACAATGTTCTAGCAGGAAGTGAAAATTGCACAATGGTAGGAAGAAACGATTTTTGAACTACCCATAAGTCCAGAACCAACATATTTTTTTAACACATTATGGGCTTATGTAAAATTTCCCAACTGTCTCAACTTTATAGTATAAATGTGAATGGCAAGTTTTCCCAAAGTACAACTTATTTCGGAAAAGAAGTGAGAAGAAAATCAACTTGGACATACAACCTATAAATGCATAGTGATTACTAATTAGAACAAAAGCAAGCCTAATGTGAAGAAAATTTAAAGAATAATGCATAAGTTTCATAGCTCACTGGAATGCATGCTCATTAACCTATAAAGAACTCATTTCTTAATTAAAGAATCACTTAAGCAAAACCAATTAAACCAAAGAAAGAGTAATAGAGTTTTAAATTCAAAATATTTAAAAAAAAATCGTGGTTATACCGATACACCAGTACAGCTGAAACTGATTGCATCTGAAAAATAAAATTCCAAAAATTAAATTTAAAATCAAAATCCTTAGTAGATACACAAACACACAAAGAAGACATAGAAAGAAGAGGTTCTCCAGTTTGAATGACCTTTTGGCTATGACCATAACGAGTTCTTATGAATCTTGTCTTCTTTTCTATACATCTTGAGGAACAACAAATAAAACATCACCCACAATCCGAAATCAAACCATACTGAATTTTCTTAGAAACCCATTGTTCTAAAAAAAAATCTTATATCTTAATCTTTGATTTTAGGAAATTACATGTCCAAAAAAACCCCACAATTTTTTTAGAACGAACTATTTAGACATTTTGAAAAAGAAATTTGATATTACCTCCTTTGATATGGGTGATGCAAAAGACATATAGATTTGACAAGGTTTCAACTGCGGGTTTCATAGCATCACATCGATAACAGAAATAGAAGCTTTAGAGCACCGTTTTCTTTCCCTAATTGAAAAACTCAACAAAAACAATTGAACATCAATATCCAAAAACAAAACAAAAAACCCTAAAATCAAAAGCAGAAATGACGTAAAAGGAGGATTGGGGATGACAATCAACTGAGAGAATGAAAAGATGCCCATGCAGATAAATATCTAAAACGTGAAAGAGAAACAAGATCGATTCGAGTGTGGGTTATCCTGAATTTTTCCATCGATATCATCGGAAAAAGGAAAGATATATCTATAGGTTTTGATTAGGGAGAAGAAAAAGAAGAAAGAGAAATAGAGGAGAGGGACGGTGGTATTAAGTGATGGCAAGAGCGAGAAGTCGTGGAGCAGATATAGTCGGACTTCCAGCAGTGGCGGATGGATGATATGGTTTCGAGGGTTATGGTAAAATGAAATAGAGAGAAAGACGAAGAAGGAAAAATGGAAAAGCAGAGAGACATGGGGGAGAAAATCAGAGGTATGATCTGTTGTAGTACCTTTGGGGATAAGCGTATACTTGAACAAGAAGGGCTTTTTGGGAAACGAGACCATCGGTGGTGGTGGATGACAACTATTCCAAATCGTCTGCAATAACCATATGTTTAACTCTGTGGAATAGATGTATTGGTGGAAAAGGCGGTGAAGTTGGCGATTGAAATTCACGGAAGATGCCATACTCCTTTTCACGCGCCAAAAAAATGTTTTGCGTGAAATGCATGAAGCCACTTTACGAAAAAAAAAAAAACGTTTTTATATATATATATATATATATATAATATATATATATATATATATATATATATATGTGTGGCGGTGAAGTTGGCGATTGAAATTCACGGAAGATGCCATACTCCTTTTCACGCGCCAAAAAAATGTTTTGCGTGAAATGCATGAAGCCACTTTACGAAAAAAAAAAAAACGTTTTTGTATATATATATATATATATATATATATATATATATATATATATATATATATTATATATGTGTGTGTGTGTGTGTGTGTGTGTGTGTGTGTGTGTGTGTGTGTGTGTGTGTGTGTGTGTGTGTGTGTGTGTCGACATATTATGGTGAGTTAGGTTGAGGCGGTACTACTTTGTGATGTATGCCAAGATACCAGGTGCAGTCTGGCTATAATATATAGGCACGAGAGAGGAACCAGCCATGGACTGGAGGCTCATGTGAAGGTTGGGTTGAGACATACCCATGGGAAATCCAGTCTTTGTGGTTGTGAGCCCGGGGTCAATCTAATCTTTATGACTATGGGCCCGATGTGCATGCCTTGTATGTGTATTGTGGTGTGTGGTATTTTGGGGGAACTCACTAAGCTTTGGCTTCCAGTTGTAGATTTAATGTTTTTCAGGTCCCAGTGTTGATCGTGGGAAGGCGAAGGCGTGAGTGTACACATTCATCACCAACAATGGAGATTTTGAATTTATTATATTACTCTAATTCTAAACAAACGTACGTTGGAAGAAATGGTCTTCTTAACTGGGATTCTATAAATGTGAAGTTTTACCTTAATTAAAAATGAAAATTTTCGTTGTAAAAATGGGACATTACAAGTTGGTATCAGAGCTCTAGTTTGAGGGATTTGGAGGAACACTTGTGTAAATCCAAACTCATACTAGGATCTAAGAATTTTCCCAAAACATTTTTGAAAAATAAATTTTTTAATAAAACGGTTTGGGTGAGGTATATGGACCCGGTCTCTTTTCATGCTCTTGTTTGATTGCTGGCTTGGGATCGGGAACATGAACCTATGACTTACCATTGGTTTTACAAGAATGTGTGATGTATACAATCAGCCAGAGCCCGAACAGGAAAGTGATTCCCAAAATACTCATACTTGTTATATATGTTGAATTTGAAATTGCTGATGTGTGAACTATTAGAAATGCATGACAGTGGATAAGCTAAAGACTCTTTCAGGAACTATATGATAGTATTGCCTGAATTCTGTGATGCCTTATGGTCTATGGAATTACTTGTTATATGCTATTTGATTATGTGAATTTCTAAGTGTATGTTGTATAGTTGTATACGGTTAGGATTACATAGCCTTAGAATGATTAACTTAACTTTATTTACTATTCCTTGTTTGGTTGTGGCCTTAGGGTAGAGTCATTTATTTGACAGTCTATCTGATCATGCATTGTATACAACTAGCATGCACAAGGAAACCATCAGTGTAGAAGCGTAATTGAGGACAATCCTAGGAGGAGTTCCTAGGAAGTTAGTGGCGGATCTTAGGATCATGTGGGTGTTAATACACCTAGGGGTGGTCTAGTGTAGTGACTTAGGACCTTGTGATGAATTATGGGTCGACTACGGATACAAGTAGAAGGTAGTATGGACCCGTACTACTGAAAGCACAGGATCCGTATGAGAGTCATAATAAATCTTAAGGCTACTAAGTAACTAATAGGTGGAGGCATAGTGTGTTGAGCACTGTGTTTTGATAATTGACCTTTTTTTTATGTATATATTTTAGTATGGTTGGTATCAGAGGTTTAGGATCAGGTGCTGGCGGCACTGAGAGGACATATCCGAGTGATGAGGATATATGTGGGATCATTGCTGTCAAAGTGGTTGTGTCGATTAGGGAGGCGATTCCAGAGTTGTTTGGGTCGGTTAAGACCGTGTTGATTTAGGATTTCGATAGGCGCTATGCCGCCGACGCACATGTTGCCACTACCGCATCTACTGTAGTCGTCGTCGTTGCTGGATTTCAGAGAGGCGGGGGATGTAGTATCGGGAGTTCAATAATATGAAGCCTCCGGAGTTTAGAGGCGAAAAATACCCGATTATTGGTTTGAGATGGATATCTGATGTAGAGGGATGTTTCTACATGTGTTTGTGTCCCAAGGACCAAATGATGAAATTTACGTTGAATCTTCTTCGTTGGGGTGCAAAGGATTGGTGGGAGTTTGTGAGCCCAGGGATTTTCGCATGTAGAGTAAGTTGCAGTGACTTAGGAGCCGTTTCTGGAGATGTTTCGGGAAGAGTATGTTCCACTTGTGGAGAGAGAGCGATTGGAACAGGAGTACCTGTCGCTCAAGCATATGACTCGGTGACAGAGATCACCAAGATGTTTACAGAGAGAGCCATTTTTTCGCATAGTATGCCACTTTAGAGCAGGTGTAGATATCATGATACTTGAGTATGCTGAAGAAGGAGATTCGAGAGTTTGTATCGACTCAGCCGTATCATACCTTGACCGAGTTGCAGTCGAGCACTAGGAGGAGGGAGATTGAGCTGGAGATACAGAAGAAGGAGGAGAGGACAGCTTCAGGTCAGTTTCAGCCGGCGGCCAAGCAGATCAAGTCCACTGAGTCGAGATATGGACCGGTAAAGCACGGGAATTTAGGGTGTGTTAAGTGCGAAGGGTTTCATGATGGGAGGTGTCAATATTTTACATGTCGTAGGTGTGGCAAGGAGGGACATTTCGACAAGGATTGTAGGCAGAGCAGGCGAATTTGTTTCCATTATGATTAGGAGGGCCACATTAGAGTTCATTCCCCCTTTCTCGTTTTCGGATCCAGGGGTAGCGAGCATGTCAACTACGGGTATGTTTTCCATTTATTTTACTCATGTCTTTCATTTATGAATTGGGTTTTGCTTTTGGAAGTTCTCTTCTGGGTGGAAGTTGTCCTGTGTATGCTTTTGGGTTGGTAGTATTTCGAGCTCCTCGGTGGGTTGCATTGTTAGGGTGTCTTAGACTCAGGGATATGTTGTCCATTTCGGTTATATCCTTATGGAATGAATAAGTAGTGCTTCAGATGGTTCGAGAGGGGGCTTAGTTTTGTTTGGGCTGCATTTAGATGATTGGTATATTCCAAGTGGGGGAGAGTGGAGATTTCATAACAGAAGGACTTCGTGCTAGAATGCAGTTTTCAGCCAGATTGTTCAAGTTCAAAACTTTCGCCCGACTGCTTAATCTTCTGATTTTCGCATCGAGGTCATCACCAACTGTTGAATTTCCTTTCGAAGCGTCTTAGTTAGGGTTGCATTAGTAATCTGTGGGGCATCCTTGCGTTTTAGGATCCTAGGGTGTTATGGCCCAGGTTGAGGGTTATGAGGATGAATTCCTTGTCTGTTCTTGTTTGTTTGGGACCTGAAAGTCTGAATCACGGCCCAAAGGCTTGATAGAAATAATTGAGTTCTTGTAGGTTCGGTGTGTGCCTATGTTAGGCTACGAGTGCTATTATCGGTTAGCGACCGGGGATAAGCCCGAGTGCGATTATTGGTTAGCAGATCAGGGTTAAGCCTACGTGCTATTATTGGTTAGCAGATCGGGGATAATCCCGAGTAGTATTAGTGATTCGAAAATTAGGGGTAAGCCTGAGTGCTGTTAGTGGTTTGTAGATCGGGGTAAGCCGGAGTGTTGTTGGTGAATAGCAGAGTAGGGTTGTTAGATCCGAGTAGGAACATGGTCTAGGTTAGTATGTGATCGATTGGTTTTTTTTGTTGGTGCATTTTTATGCAGTGTTAGCAATGACGGCGGTTGGCCGTGGGTTCTGTATTCTATTTTCCCGTAGGACGGCATTTGGCCGAGAAGATCTCGGATCGATTAAATCTACAGATTTTCAGTCAGCATAGTTGATGTGAAGGTTGGTTTAGCCTCTTCTGCTAGGTTTTGCTAGAAATTTTCATTGGTACCTCGGTGTACGAGGTTATCAGTTGTGGTATAGGTTGTAGACTATTTATATGGTTATTCGACGGGCGGCGCAAGATCAGGAGGTCTTGGTCGGACCAGGTCTGTGACTTTTGGTCAGCATGGGTGACAAATGGGGTGGCTCTGTCTACTTGGAGGTTGTGTATGACTTTGGGATCTGCAGGTTATGGACAAAGGAGTGGATTCTTCTCATCGTGGTTTAAGGATGTCGTGCGAAGACGTTTTCGTCAGGTCGCATGGTGTCGTAAAAATTAGTATTGGCAAAAATGTCAAGAGATGGTTGACTGTTTAACCATGGAGTCTCTGCTCGGATTGGGTTATGAGCCTGGTTTTGGAACCATTGTTGTCGATGATTGCAGGTGTTGGCATTCAAGTGGTCTCAACCTGCGTTGAGGGAATCAGGTTTGGAGGAATCGTAGGGGGTTCCAAGAAGTGTTCAAGAGCATAAGTGAGAACTGATTTCGAGGACAAAATCTAATTTAAGTGGGGGAGAATTGTAACACCCTTTTTCTAGAATGGATCGGTTTAGGTCATTAAGGAGCCTAAATCATGGTTTTTGTGGAAAATGATATGTCACGACATGACCATATGGTGGTTACAACATGACGAATTAATTGAGAAGCGTGTATCCGAGAGCATGTGACGACGTGACATGTGTCTGGTCACGTCATAAGGAAGGCTGAAGCCCAAGCCCATGATCTTTTTGGGTTTCCTTTATATTGAAGCCTCCTTAACTCGAATTTAGGGTTCATTATCAGCCTCCATCACCCTCAAACCTCTGAAAACCCTAGCTCTTATCCCTCTTGGTTGTTTTGACTCATTTTGGTGGATTTGGTACTCTATGAAGGAAGCAAAAGGAGATTTGGTGCAAAGATCAAGCAAGCAACAACTTCTCATCTTGGATATAAACTTCTTGACCATTTGTATGGATTCAAGTTAATTTCCACCTTCATGGATATTCTCTTAGATCTAAGTGTTTTAGTCCCTTTTGGTTCATG